TGCCTCCATTTCTCCCTGCGGGAGGCCGCGGGGCCGAGCAGAGATGCTGAGAGCTCTCCCTTCCGCTCCGCTCGCTTTCTTGCCTGTTTTTCCTTCCCTTTCAGCAGCGTTTCCAGGGTTGTTTTGGCACAACAGCAAACGGGAGGCGAAGAAGCGACATCCCCGGCTGCGCCCGACTGATGCACGGGGCACGGGAAGGACCACGATCGTGGTGTAACTCCTTGGCCGCGCATGGTGCTGAGGCACGGGGCGGTTGGATGCCAGCTCCGGCACCATGGGCCCCTCGCTGGGCTGCTGGGAAGCACCGAGTGTGAAACAGCCCCACAAGGGCCTCTCTGCCCCATGGCAGCACGGAGCAGGTGGGAGCGAGGCGGGATTTGGATGCAGAAGCAGGAAAATCCCTGCATCTTTCCCACCCCTCGGGCAGTGACCTGGGGCCGGGACAGTCCCATCCCAGCACCATCTCTCCTGCATCCCACTGTAACCTCTCCTGAAGCACCAGCCTGTGCCGCTGCACTGGAAGCCACGCTAGTGACGGTACCAAGACACCGGCCTGCAGTGTCCCAGTACCCTGTCTGTGAACACGTGCAGGGATGGTGACCCCAGCACTGCCCTGCTCCAATGCCTCAGAGCCCTTTGGGGAAGGAGCTGTTCCTCATCCCCAGTCTAACACAGACGAACCCCCTGCAGCTCCTGCCCCTTCCCAGCCCTGCTGTCCCCATGCAGTGACTCCATAGCGGGTGAATGCCCCAACAAGGAGCCCTGGTGCCGGTGCTGCTCACCGGGGCTCGACTGGCCCTCGGTGATGGCTCCCACAAAGGGAAGGGGCCATCGGATCCCCTGGCACCACAGCCGGGGTTAAAGGGAGCCACGGGCCCCTGTGAACATCAGAGGCTGCTTCATAGCCTTGAAATGGGATTTCCTCAATGGTGAGGGGCAGGGTGGGAGGATAAACCGGGGTGGGGTGGTGGTACCTGGCTCCCACATCAACACCAAGATGCTCTTTTGGGTCACCTGCCTTGAACCTGGTGCTCCAGACACAGAAGGGGGGGATCTGGGCACCTCCTGCCCCGTCGCCCTTGTCCCAGGGTCCTCATCCCTTCCCATGACCCCCCTCCATCCCCAGCACCCACTGAGGTGCTGCTGGGACAAGGGCAAGGGCTCAGCGCCCACTCGCTGCCCTTGGCTCCGGGGCTGCCATCTCCTCTCACCAACAGACCAGGAGCCGTGGCTGTTTCACCTTCACACCGCACAGCTCCAGTTTCTGCTCATTTCCAGCATGAAAAGCCATGGAAAATCCCCTTTGTGTGCTTCCCAACCCCAGGAGCTCACAGAAATGCCCCCTCTGCGATGGGCACCCTGCTCCTCACTGCAAACCCAGGGGAAACCCCTCCAAGCCAGCCAAATAAAGGCTCAACAGCTCCTTACGTGGAATAAAACACTGCTAAAGGATACACCAACACCTTCACTGTGTCCCTGCGAGGCCTCAACTCACCCTGCACCACAACCTGTAAGCACCAACAGCCCCCAGTATCCCCTCAAGGGTGACATGAACCAAGCGGGACCTCCCCAGCATCCTCATCACGTCAAGAAGCTTCGTGTTAAACACCCCCTGTTCCCCTCATGCCCACGCCGCCGTCACCCCCGGATTTACTGTAACTGCACCGTGGCTTCAGTGCAATTAAATATTGAACACATGGGGAGGGAAAGATCCCAACCCCACAGCCTCGTGCCTGCTCGGCTCCTTCAGTCCCCGTCTCGGTTTAACCTGCAGTGTCCATGAGCGGCTCGCTCTCAGATCATGCACCATTAAAGGAGGTATTTTAGGCTGCCTGAAGGCTCTTTGAGATCTTTCGGCTGCCTTAAAGTCTCCCCTTTGCTCCCAAAAGAGCCTTTGCCTGCTCAGGCACAGCCGATGCAGAGCACAGGAGGTCATCGGGAGCCCATCACCAGTGATGCGCGCTGGGAGGAGCACAGGAAGCTTCTATTCAGTGACAGGCCTCTGTGCCTGAAGAGCTGCTGCTGCACCAATGCACAGGGACTCACCTGGGTGGCCTTTAAGCACGGTCCCTCCATCCCTGGGTGCTGTGATCCGAAGGCAGAGCGTTCCCCAAGCCGAAGGTCTCCTTGCGGGAGCATCCTGCGGTCCCCTGGGATCAACACCCAGGCACGGCCCCGTGCTGGTGCCTGCAGTGGGAAAGGGCTGCGCTGTCCCCACCACCATCCTCCTGCATGGTTCCTTGAGGACCTGCTCCTTGCAGCACCCAGCTTCCACCTAAGGGGCAGACAAACCCCTCCTGTCACAGGCCCTAAAGCAGCCGGTGCTTGACCCACTTCACTGGGGGATTAAACGTGCCCAGATGTGAGCAGGACACAGAGTTCCTCTCTCAGAGACCATGGATGTGGCTTGAAGGCATCACAGCAGCTTCTGAGCTGTGCAGTGAGGAGCTGCCAGAGACCCCCTGAGCAAGACACGAGGTGCCATGGGGTGGGATTGACCCCAGCAGCCCCCAGGGCACGAAGGCAGCAGCGTTCAGAGGAACCCAGAGGCCACCAGTCCCTGTGAGATGCCAAAACCTCCCTTCACCTCCTCCCCAGCCCCATAGAAGGAGGCTGAACGCCTGCAGCCCCTGTGCCCCGTGCAGGCAGCAGCAATGGAACAACAACCTGCAGCACTTGGGCTGGTTTCAAGCCCTTTGGGCTGCCAGGGCAGCAGAGCGCTGCTGAAACCTCAGCTTTGCCGGCACCATCCTAATGAGAGGCCCAGGTTCAAAGCCTTGCAAACTATTTCTTCGGCCTCCCCACCCCCTCGATAAAAGCTTGCATCAGAAAGAGATATTTCCATAATTCATCGGGCGGGTATTTCACTGGGGAGCCTCTCTCATCTGTACTTACAGCTGCATTTCACAAAATGCATCCTCCCACCATCCTGCGCCATTTACGACCATGGGCACAATCTGTAATCCTCAGTCTTCAATTAAGGGACACCTTAGGGTTCATTATCACACAATTGCTCCCTGTGAACCATGCCAAATGTTGTTTTGGCACAGAGCTTGGAAGATGAATTAGAAGGAAGTCTTCTCGGTAATGCCCACTCCCAATTCCCATCAGCAGCCTTTATGCCCTCCTCCAGCCATTTTTTCCCCCCTCTCCCTTCTTTCCAAGTGGCTTTTACTATCCCATCTTTCACTGTCTCTCTTGATTCTCTGGAGGTATATTTAGAGATGCTACATCTCCTTTTCTTCCGGCTCTCAACATGCCTCCCGCTCCCTGCTTTGCAGATGGGATCTTCTTTCCTCCCTCCCTCCCCCATCTGGACGCCCCTACAGCCGGCTGGGAGCAGTGGATGGGGCTGGTTTAGGTTGGAAGAGCATAGAACTCTTATTTTATAGGAACGGGATCGCTGGGGTTCTGGCCAAACTCGGCTATTACTAAAAGTTATTGCTCCGTAACGCGATCTAATGGATGAGGATGACCAGAGCCAGGTCCCCCACTACGTGCAGGGTGGAAGGTGAATCCTGAATGGATCCAGCCTCAAAGTTAGGGAAGAGCAACAAGTTCAGGGCATTAAAACCCGGTGTTGCCACCTCCTCAACAAGCCCTAAAACCTTCATTACAGAAACCATCCCTTGATCACACCATCTCTTTAAGAGCTGCAATCCCGTCACCTCACTGTGACGGTACCCAGAGATGCTCGGATGCGACACTGATGGAGCCACACCAGAGAGGGCCGCAGGGCGCAAAGCGAGTGAAGCAGACTGGAGATAACTTGAGCCACAAGACACCTTGTGGAGATTTTATTATATAGAGTGTAAAATGCAACTGTCAGTCAAATAAAAAGAACACTTTTTGTGTTTAAACACCATGCTCGACGTTACCCAATTGCAGTTGGTTGGGTTGGTTTCTTTATAGTTAGACATTTCAAGCATAAGGGAAACAGAAAACAGAAGGGAAGAACCCAAGAACGGTAACTTCAATACATTGCAAAACGGAATGTCCCGCGGGGCAATGAGAAAGGCAAGAAAAAATAGCTTCAATTCCGTTTCTCCTTTAAAAATACACTGTTATCTGTACAAGAAACACTACAGTAAACATCAGAAAAATCATATTATCCCTTTTATTAAATCAAAAGTACTCCGCGCGTACTGTGGTTAATACTAGATTCATTTCTTTCTCTAGGTAATCTGACAAATATTAGATAAGAAAATATTTAAAAGAACTGGAAAAAAACAAACAACCCCCCAAAAAAAAAACCCCAACCCCCAAAACAAACCCACCTTGGAATTAAAAAATAGTTACTACCTTTTATATGGTTTCTTTTTTTCTCTCTCCGCGTTCCACAGTGTTTGTTAAAGGTACTAATAGCAGATTCATTTTAATATTAAAAATAACAGTATTTATATTTCTGAGCATAGAGGAAAGTTTTATTTTTTAAAATTCTTTTTTTTAATTTATTTTCTTTTTTTTTAATTATTATTATTATTATTATTATTTTTTAAACCAAGCTTGGAGGTCTTAGATCCAGAAATGCAACGGGAGGGAGGAACTGGACTGCTACAAAATCAACACCGCTTTATATTAACCCCTTTAGACTCTTAGAAATTATACAAACCCTACAAAACGTGTGGGTCCCCCCCCCCCTTTTCCCCTTCCCAGCCCCTCACTTGCCTGACAGCGAAACGGTCCCTGTCTCAATACAGAATTCACATCATTAATTACAATACATAGTCCTTAAAAAATAATGCAATAAAAATCAAAAGACAGCCAAAGAACACGGAATTAGAAGTAAAACATTTCAGGAATTTACATATTTAAGAATATTTAAATACTGTTTAAAACATTTTTTTTCTCTTTTTTTTTTTTCTTTTTTCCTTTTTTTTTTTAGGATTTGTTACATACCACCTAAGACTTCCAAGCCACTTTCTGTCGGAACAGAAACGATTGAGAATGAAAAACGGAGGAAGGGAAATACCCCCCCCCACCAAAATAAAGAGCACACACACACAAAAATGACCCAACGTGTTGAAATGTCACAGCTCTGGGGTGCGTTTTGGTGCCGGCAAATTCTCTGGCTTCTCTCCAAAAAGGATCCCGGAGGTTTATTATTATTGATTCTCATGATTTCTCGCTTTAAAACGAATTTGGACACAAAAAATGACCAGCGCGTCCGTGAGTTTAGTACGTGACTGAATTGCTCCTGATTCTTTAGCGAAGTTCAGTACAGATTTATCCTACCACTAGTGTTTCACAAACAGAAAAGTCTTCATCAAAAGGCTGCAAATCTAGAAACCTCTGTTACAAAAAGGTTTTTCTTCCACAATGATTCCAAGGGAAAAAGAAAACGAAACAAAAAAAAAACAACCCCCGAAACAAACCCCAAAGAAAATTGCCACGAGGACCTTGTTCTACTGCTCCTAAAGAGGGAGGGAAAAGGAAAAGTTACTCAGCGGCAGGCAGTTCTTTACGCTTGTCCAAGCCTCCTCCCCCCCGGACACAGGCAGGGCTCTCATTCCCCGCTCCAGCCGAGCGGGATGTGCACCTCCAGCGATGCTCGGAGCCGCTATGGAAGGGATGTGAGCCCTGGGCTCTGCAAGGCTCTCATGGAACAAGATCTCTCTTCTCCAGAGGGCCAGACGTGGAGCGGGGAATGAAGAGAACTCCCTTTCATCACCGCTTCCAGCTCACCCTTGGCCAGCGCCCGCGGCAAGCGCCGGTTCCCGCACCAGGCTCGACCTCGGCGGTGCCGAGCGGCAGCCGCTGCTTGAGGGCAAGGCTGGCAGCCCAGGGGCATCCCAACCACCTCCTGCCCCACGGAGTTAGGATGCAAGCATGGATCAGTGGGGAGATCAGGTCGCACCCAGGGGTGTGTGTGCTCTGCACATGATTTCTGCCAAATGCTAAGACATTCACCCTACAACCGCGGCACTTGGGAAAGCTCTGCGGGTGCGAGCAGGGTAAATCCCACTCAGCCCTGTACTGGGCTGAGATTTCACTTGGCAACTGGTTAATCTGAGTTATTATTCCAACAGGTTTCTGCTCCCTTTCAGGACAGGGAGCTCCCTCCCCAAGCAAGAGCACCGCTGATCCCTGCTCAAAGCCCTCAGGAGGAAAGGCAAAGCCTGCACACACAGACCCACAGACACTGTGCGATGTGCCAGTGTTCTGCTACCTCGCCAGACCGGCACCATCAATCCAAGTAGCCTGGGGGTTATAAGGAAAGGTCCCCAGGAAATAACCTCCCAATCCCCTCCCCAAAACCCCCTCACTCTGTATAGGGAAATAAGATGCCAATGCTGAGCGATTACTTCCTCAGCCACAAAACACCTCTGCCTTCACTATGTGAGCCCAAAGCAGAGTCCACAAACCAGGACAAGGCCAATGCACCCAATTCCCTACAGGAAAGAGCAGTGGGGTTCAGGGAACAGGAATACAGACCTGGCTGTGGGCCTGAGCCTGCCCTAGTGTCTGCCCATAGTAAGCAGCTTGCTGTCTGTAATACTCTGCCCAAGCCATTGTGTAGTCCGGCTGGGAACTTGCCTGAGAAGCAGCACTGGCAGCATGACCTGGAGGAAAAGAAGGGAAAAGGAAGAGGTGAGCAATTCCTTAAGACCAAGCCCAGGCTTAGGATCTCCTTCTGTAAAGCTTAAAGAAGCTGCAGACATCTGGGAGAACGGCAGCGGCTCCCCGCTGGGTGGACAGGACAGGACAGGACAGGCTCTGAGCTGGCCTGCAAGCCCCCAGCAGCCAGAAAGCACCAAGACATCATTCCTGCAGCTGCAGGGACACGGTCTGAGCACCTGCACCCTTCCTCCTCGGCCCAAAGGCTCCAGCAGCACAGTGGCAAAAGCAGATCCAGGAGTTGGCACCACCGCTTCTTAATGGAGGGAGGAAGCCAGGCCCACGTTACCCCAGGTGCACAGAGCTCTGCTGCCCTCACAGAGCCCAGCTTCAGGTTTCTGCCTTTTGTTCCCTGTGCACTGTGTTCTCCCCATGCAGAACAACTGCAAGCACCGACACGAGGTCTGCTGTGGACTGTGGTTCAATGGGAGCTTCTCTCCTGAGCTGCAACAGCAGAAAGCACAACTGAGAGCTTTCACTGGGAGAACTACGTGCACCATCACCAAAAGGAGGGGACCCGAGGGTTCTGTAGAGGACTGGAAGCTAATAATGGCAGGGAATGGAGATGTAAGCTGTGTGATTACAGTAACTGTTTGAAACGAGGGTTTGTTCATCTCCAGTAACCCTGTTCCACTCACTCTGCTTTTTGAAACACTCCTCCCGTGCTCTGTTGTCATCAGGGTGGCTGCTCTGCTTCTGGCTCTGTTGGCCTGTGCAGAGATGACAAGGGGCCCACCAGTGTGGAACAGGCAAGTTTCCAGCTAGTGACATCTACCTTTGCACTAGACAGGCCCTGGATCTACCTCTGTTGCCCAGACTTCTCAGTGCAGCTTCCACCTCCTTACAGTATTGGGAATCTTCAGTTCAGGAAAAGCTCCAGTTCCTGATTTCACTTCACTTGTGCACACCTAAAGGGCATCAAACCAAGCCTCCCCATACTGGGACCCGCTCAAGCTGAAGCACACAGGCAGGGAGCTGCTCAGTCTGCACATCCACAACACCCTCCTAACAGCCACAGCCAGCTCTGTGCCACTGAGAGACCTCCCAGACCCCAAAACCTTGGGCTTCACTAGCAGAGACACCCCTCTTTGGAGCCCCAGCACATCCAAGTGCTATCACAGGGGAGAGTCTGGGTGCAGATGCAGGATGCCCGCACTTCCCTCAGTCACAGAGCCACGAGCCTTGAGCAACACACACAGAGCAAACAGAAACTGCAGCGAGAGACAGGCACAGGCTGAGCAGGAGCCATGGAGAGCAGGCAAGGAGAGGAGACACGAGTGGGGAGGGCTCTTCCAGGCACAGCCCTGCCCTGCGACACCAGCCTAAGGGGGGCTTTGAAGCTGAGGAGGGGGGGAAGGCAGACAATAACACACTGCGAGTGTGAAGTGGGTGGAGGGAGCAGGGCAGCAGTGTCCTGTCCAGAGGCATAAAAGCGGGTTAAAAGACTTGACCAACGCTACAAGTCAGGACCTTTTCTGGCAGAGGTCAAGGCTGCCTCAACTGTCCACCTGCTAGCGCCAACAAAGGCCCTCCCTTCAATGCCTTTTCTTGGGGCAGCGTTACAGTCGGCAGCGGGCTGAAAGGACACTAAAATGTTTCCCCGGCCAGTTCATTTATTGCAGATGGGGGAAGTCATTAAAATCTAAATACATGTGTAGGGGGTGGGGGCCTGCCCCTCCTCCCATGCTAAGGGCACTCTCGGCTCTGTCCCTAGGAAGCCACTCGGTGGCTCTTTGACAGCCGCAGGCAAACGGGCTGCAGCTCCCAGGGAAAGGGCCCTCCTCGAGCCTGTTGTCACATTAAAGCAGGTATTTACCCTATAATAACCCTCCATACCTCGGTGCCCTCCACCTGGCCTGGGTACCACCACGATCTGCAGCAGGAGAAAGAGGTGAAGGCTGCTTAAAGCACAGCATTATCCTGTCTGTCTTCTCTCCTTACCAAGACTGCCCTCAGAATGCCTGGCTACAAACAGGAACTTGGAGGGTCCTAAGTAGACATGGAATTAGAGAGCCAACATTTTCCATTGGGTTCAACAGCAGATACAAAACACCTGCCCCAAAACAGTGTCATGGTACTAAACCCATAGAGGGGAAGGATAATGGCAAGGCAGGATGCTTCACTGCTCTTAAGAGCCACCAGAAACATGACAAACTCACTGTAAAGCAGCTGTGTATCCATTGGGATACAAACTGCACTATTGGTAACCAGGGGATTAAAAGGGTCTGTCAGCATTATACCAAATGGTTACAGGCTCCAAAGCCAGGATGTGCGAGCTCAAGACATGAGTTGATGTTGCAGGAAGGGAGATTTCTTTTCCTCTGTGGCTGGTGGGCAGGATAAGAGGGTGTTTCAGGGAGGGGAGAAAAGACAAGTTACTAAAGTGAGTCTCTAAAGGCAAGTAGCAATGTACAGTTGATAAGCATTTATTCAGAGGCTTTATGGGAAGATAAAGATGCCACTTTTGGTAGAGTTTTCCCTGCTGCACTGACTGCTCTGCTTCCCAAAGCTCACGGAAGCCCAGTGCTCCTGGGGGTGCATTTTCTGTACCTCCTTTCCCAGTCTTTCCATCAGACTGGGAGATGAACAGTGAGAAGAGCTCGAAAGGGACATTTGGAAAAAAAAGGAAGCAAGAACTGATAAGGTCAAGAACAAAGAGATGGGCAGGGTCACCACTGCCCATTGCGTGCCTGCTGGGGGAAGTGGGGTTGGCAAGCACTTGCTGGGAGAATCCTAAGGCAGAAATGTTTTTGTTAAGAGAGGACAGGCACAAAGACAGCAGAAACAGGCAGTAAGCAGTGAAGCACACAAAAACGTTACAGTTTTCAATGGACTTCAGCTTATTCTGAGCTCAAACACTGCAGCGCATCTTCACGTACCTCTTCTGCTCAGGAAAACGGAGCGGTCTCGTGGGTGAACCTGAGTCTGGCAGGCACGAACCAGCAATTGCAAAGGGAGCCCCAACCCTTCTCCAACCCAGGTCCTAGACACTTACTTGGGACTTGCTGTCCAGGCTGCTGCCACGTCTGGTAGGTACTGCCCCAACCCTGCGTCATGAACGCCTGAGGACCACTGCGGGGACAAAAAGGGATGCTGAAGGAGGCAATAAAACACTTCACAGGCCACATACACAAAGCTGCCCACAGAAACTGAAGCTATTTACAGTCAGCAACTGCTGAGCAAACAGGTGAACATGGGAACCAAAGGGAACGCTGTGTAGGTGTGACTGCCTTGATACAGGTCTGTGCTTGAAGCCAAGATGAAGACACATCACACTGAACAGCACTCCTCGTGTTGCAAGCAGTTCAGGTTTCCTTCCATGCTCTCACTGTCCCACTAGAGACAGGAATTTTGGAGATGCTGATACCTACCTTCTTTGTAACTTAACCGATAAAATCCTTCCTGCATCCAAGCTTAATCTCACTTGCTTCTTGCTTCTGAATACTCCATCTTTACAAGGCTCCACTTACACACCACCCCTTCAGGGCCCTCCACCCTTCTCCAATGCTTTTATAGCTCCCAGCCATTCCCCACAGCCCATCCACGAGGAGAGGAAGCAGCTTACTTTTGATGAGGTGTAGCGGGTGCTTGGCTGAACGGACTTTGACCAAATCCTCCAGGTCCACCCATGCTGGTACCCTGTCACAGAATCCACAAATACTTAATGGCAGCTCTAAGCACAAGGTGGAGGCAGCAAGTATGAGCAGTGAGAAAGGGGAGAAGACAGCCTGGGACACGTGGATCCTGAGGTTGGTATCAAGCCTTCTCCGCTCAGGTAGTGCAGCACAAAGGTTGCTTTTCAGCTTTACCACGCCCCAGTTCAGTATTTTCCATACTTTCTTTTACCCAAGTGTCCCCCTTCAGCAGTATTCCAGCCTGACATTATTAAGCTTCAATACCACAGCACTGCATTAAGTGGAAGTTAAAGTCATCCTGGATTTACTGGAGCAAGGAGTTGAGTGTTACTTTCAGGATGATGATGCCAGGATTGTGTCAATTCTCACGCAGTGACACTACTGTCTTCCCTTCAAAAAATCTCCTTTGACAGCCTTCTCACACCTGATTACTGCTGTTCTTCCCTCTCACACAGCTGCACAATACCCATGATCATGTCAGCAAACAGTTAGATCCTTCTGGGACCACAGCACAAATTAGTCCAATGGATCCTGGAGGGCCAAAGTTCAAGACAGCTGCTAACAGGCAAATGGTTTTGAAGCTGAATAATGCAAGCGTGTGTGTTCTGTGCCATCCTCCAAGTCCAGGCCCACGTGTACACCTAAGAGTGAAAACACCATGTCTGAAAGAGACAAGACTAAGATCAGAGACGGAACTTACACCAACTTTCTCATCTATGAGATGTCTAGCGAGCTCAATTTGCTGGGGAACTCCTCTGATTGTGAATATTCGTACACCGGGGTCTGTGTTTGGAGGTGGGTTTCTCTGGAGCTCCACGTGGGCTCCCGACTGCTGATTTATGCTCTTGATGTTCTCACCACCTGAAGAAAAGAAAACCAAGATGTAAGAAGGGATATCCAGCATCTCTTCCAATAAAAGTGTATCAAAGCCAGGTTCTGGTGATGGAACAGCTTCAGCTATCTTCTGAGTGCCTCAAGGGAAGTGGGCTGAGGATGGCAACACCATAAGAAACAACAGTACCTGAGCTCGTGTTGCTCCTTCTAATCTGCTTCATAAGCATAACCTAGAACTGTGAGCTACTGCAATGGCTCCTGGAGTCAGGGCTGGTGCTGTTGTAAGACCACCCAGCTCTGCTGTGTGCACACTGTCGGGCTCCCAGCAAGCTGCTGTGTGCCTGAGATACACTTGGACAGAGCAGATGGCAAAACTGACTGAGTTCTGGGGTTCTGCACTGCTTTCTCAAGCCTCAAGGGAAAAAATGTCACCCACAACCAATGCTGCTGCTTGCTTCTGTGAGACTTTTATCCACCCCCCCATCACTACACATTTCATTCCACTAAGGCAAAACCGACCAGCTACGTGTCTTGTAGCTTTAAAACAAAGCTTAAGCTTTCCCACAATCATGTGCTGTTCAGGTTGTTGCCTCTGCTTACCACGCTCCCTATTCACACTGCAGCACATGCATCCCTTCACACAAGCACAGCAATGCAGGGTTCCAGGCTGCCCTCTGCTCCTGCAGCACTGGTTGTGTGCAGTGAATGTATCTGGGTACAGGAGTGCCTTGAGCAGGATGCAGCAGGGCCAGCACAAGTAGATCTGGTTTCCTCAAGCCCTGCTATGTCCCGGTCTCTTAATGAAATTTGCTTAACAAAAGCCTTCACCAATGTTACAATGGTTCAATTCTTCTTTTGGAAGCTCACACAACTTAGGGACCAGCTCTGCTCAACTGGAGAAACTGAAGGATGCAGGGAACTTTTAAATCACAAATCCACAATCTCCAGCCAAAAGGATGCAGCAAGCAGGGAAGAGCAAAGGAAAGGAACCCCAGGTTTTAATTAAAGAGTCTCCACAAACAATCGTCTCAATTTTGCTGCATTTCCATCTCTATGCATCCAGCACAACTTCAAAACAAACCGGGGATGCTGCAGACACTTGTTCATTTCATTGTAATGGACTCGTGACCTTTTTAACATTTTAAAGCCTTCTTGGGGAAGGGAGGAGGAAAAGTTGCCAAAGGGCAATTAACTCTTTCTAAATGAATTTTTGAAGATGCATTTAACAAAAGATAATGGTGTCACATCCCTGGGCAGACAACAGCGATTGTACTGCGCTGCGAAAAGCCAACCCACTTATTTTCATGTCAAGCATGGGAAAGGGTGAGATGAAGTTTCTAAACTAAGAAGGTTTTTTTAATGCGATGCTTTTGTCTGATGCAGACTTGTCTGAAGCTCTGGTTTGTACATATGGAGGTGGGATCTGAATCTACAGCAGCTTCATCAGCTTAATGAAAACAGAGAACCCCTTCACATTTTGGATCATGAAGGAGGGGGAGAATTTCTTTACTGGGCGACAGTCACACAGCAGACCAGGTTTCTCCTTCCAAAGGGGATTAAAAATTAAAGCATTCTCAAACTGGAAGCAAGGAGAATATAGATTTCAAGTAATTTTCCCATTTAACATTCAGCACCAAGTCTGTAGCTGCTGGGATCATTGCCACATCAGGTCCCTCCTGGACCATACTGCAGGATCAAGTTAGTCGGCTCTCCAGGTCTGCTCAGAGGCTGCAAGCTCTCATCCCCAATACTGGGACTTGGTGCCCTTCTCCTCCTAACCCTCCAGCCTGGAACACACCACAGTGCTCCCTCCCATCCAAGCTATCCCAATTCAGCCTCCAGAGCATGCAAATGAAGTGACGAAGTGGACAGGATGCTGCACGGTGCCGGAAGGAGTTCATCTTCCCCCATGGCGAGGTGACCCGCTCGGCACATGGTGGCTGTCTATAGACGCATTCAGCAGCCCGCTCCATTCTTCTACCTGATGGGGGGCAGAAGTGATCCAAGAGTGGCCCCCCAGCTGGACGTGAAATCGTAAAGCAATTAATCAAAGCTGCTAAAAGGCAGAGCTGACAAGAGCCAGGCCGGCCGCGGTATCTGTCAATATTGCTGTATTTATCATGGAAATCCAGCGGGGGCCCAGAGAGGCTGTGGGTTGTTTCCAAGCACCACCAAACAGAGAGAGCCCCTGACATGTGCATGGTGCTTGTCTCCAGCCTTCCTCGAGTCTTTCAGGGAAGAAAAGCTGCACCTACCCACCCTCTAGAGGAAAAAGCTACGCACAGGATCTGCAGGGAGCCACATGCTTCTTATCGGCTCCTAATGGCTCACAATCCTAAGCTGAGAAGTGATGCCCATCAGAAAAGCGCCCTAAACTTTCTGCCATATACTCCACAGACACTGAGCTGAGGAACTACCTCATCCCCTGTCTTCTTGAGTGGTGACATGGAGCTGGAAGCACAGTGGCAGTTACCTGGCCACATCACATACGCTACACCCAACATACCCATTGCTTGGGTGCTAACCTCAGAGACCATGTGCCCAGAGGACTCAGCCAGATTTTACAGAGGAGGCTGACAGCCACCACCTGTATCACAGGGGATAAAACCAAAACAAGCTGGAAACTGCTCAGAAACTGCAAGTGGGGAGCAAAGCTTTTACAACTGGTCACTGTTAAGAAAACCCCACTAACATCCCCCCTTCAGTGCCCCACAGGCAGTGGGAGATGAAATAAGAACAATCAGGTGTCTTGAATCGACAGAGAGTGCAGTACACCCATCCTGATCCAGGCCCTGAAAGGCAGTGCTACAGCCATCACTCACTTGACAAAAATGAAGGCTGCAACAGACTAAGAGCAGAGGCACTGTAAGAACACCGATTACAAGGTGGCATTACAAAGCTACAAGCACTCAAATCACCATACAACCAGCAATTAGTCACTCCAGAAAGCTTCTGATCTGGCTGGGTAAGAATCCCTATTTTGCTGTTGTGGAAACAAAGGTAAAAAGCTACACTTCACCCCCACAGCGAGCCTGTGCCATGCCTTGCACTTGAACGCTGGGACATCCAACTCCACTACCTGCATTCATCTTTGCAGCACACAGGGCTCTCAGTAGTCACAAATGCTCCACTTCAGAACAACAAGTGACCTTTTCTGATCTTTTATTAAGGGTGACTAATGGATACAGCAATAAAGTTTCATTATAATTTGAGTTTTCCATACATATAACTCTTACTTTTGGGCTTAAAACTTGCTTAGCTTAATCTTTTGCCCAACTGGACTGTTCAGTGAGATCAAGCACAATGGCTCTGCAATTTCTGTGTAACAAGCAGAGCAGGTGTATTTACATACTGAGAAGAGCTGCCAGGTTTGTGAACAGGTTTACAGCAAAGAACATCATCTGAAAATGACTGCAGATGCACTGCTGACATGCCTGCATCCCTCGTCACCCAAGAAGGCAGGAGTTCAGGGTGCTACAGGGGCCACACACATGGAAGGGCTGTGCAGCAGGGGAAAGAGGCCACAGCATGCTTCACTGTAAGCTCACTCCTGCTCAACAGGACAGCAGGAAACTAAATGCCACTGAAACATGGCACAATGCCCTCAAGTCTCTGCCTCCTTTACTGCTGTAGCTAATCGGTTCCTATTCTATTCACTTCAGCTCTGCTGAGGCTAAAAGCCAAGTGTGATTACTTAAATAGTAGTTAAGGCATATGTCACTCTTTCTGAAATAAGCAGAGAGAAAAAATTAAATACAACTCCTTTGACACGTCAGTGAAGCATCACAACAATTCAGAGCGATAGAGCTCTTCTGTTCCTGGCTCTAATCTAAGTACTGCCATTACCCCATGTGTAGCTCATGCTCTATGACAAACTGAGACTGCTGCTGATCCTCTGCTTTCAAAACTGTCCTGGGATTGTACTTGCTCAGATGCAAGCTTGGATACACCTAGATCCTGCTATTTCACTTTACTCAACACACGCTTCAGGTACGTGGCTGGAAGCAGCTCCTGTTAGTACCACATTCAAAGACCTTCCCTTTTATCAGACGTCACTCACAGACATCCAGAATGACGAAATGACTGCTCTGCTTGTCCCTGATAAACTGTTCTTTAAATGAATTCTCTATAAAAAGCATGCACAAATGAACCTGCCTTTTCTCAGCCAGCTGCTTGTTATAACAAGCTTACTTGACAGCTCTGCATGAAGAGCCCCTCTTACAGATTGCGAACAAGGACCCAGAGAGTACAATTACGAGTGAGAGCACCACAAAGAAAACAACCACAAGCACTTACAGTTTATTCCTATGCTGCATTCACTGGCCACTAAATACCTGCAATTACAGAAAACTCCAAAGCCTCACTGGCAGGCAGCAAGAATGCGTCCATCCCAAGAGTAGAAGATGTATTTAGTGTCACCAGGCCTACCTTTGCCTATAACGAGACCACACTTGTCAGCTGGCACAGTGTAGGTTATCTCCTGCATGCCTCCAGGTGTCCCAACACTCCAGTCACCACGGCCACGACCTCTTCCTCGGGTGACAGCCAAGCTTCCAAAGCCATCTCGCTCCTTGGGAGGCAAAACAACTGTGTCAGTGGGTATTTTTTTGCTGGTACAATGCACATTAAAGCCCAAATAAAGCAAGGTAAGTTAAACTGCTTTATAATCAATAGCACTGAATTAAGATATTCTTGGACTTCAGTTTCACATTCAAGATTTTGAAGCACTTTAAAGAAATGCCAAGTAACGCAGGGAGCAGCTGCCTTCCTGACTCAGGAAGATATTTGTATTTTCTAAATGCATGCCTTTATATTTGCTGAAATAAACCTATAAATAAGCATCATCTACTAAACCACTTTTAGTTTGTGATGGGGGCTTTCCTTAGAGCAACCAATAGATCTTGGCACTGACACAGAAGTTGCTTCCAAACCCTTTCAAGCGTCATTCTTTAAAGAACTGCTGGAATTACTCAGCTGAAATGCACATCTTCCAAAACTTCCAAAGGAGGCTTTTAAGTTCAAAGACACTGAAAGGACATTCCTATTCTGGGTAACTGAATTCTCCAAAAGCAAAGGCCATGGGCAGTTAGACGCTATCAGACAGACCTCAAAACTGAAATGACCTAACATCTTCACTTTTCTCCTTCATGAGCCTGCCCTACTACTTCACCCATCTTTGTACTTCTTGCTCTTGGGCAATGCAGTATTTTGATGTCTTTCTCAGAGACAGTGAGCATTCCTTGCCTTCCCCTGCCTCCCACAGCCACTAGACAAGAGGACTGGTGTCTGAAGTGGAAGCATCAGGGTACGGTTAATGCCTTGCTGTCTAGACATTACCCAGCCCCACTGAGCAGAGACTCCAGTCACTCTCTCTTGCTGCTGCTGGACTCCATTCTACCAGGTCACCATCTCCAAATGATTTAAGAACAACTAAACATTGGGGGTAAACATGGAGCTCCAATGAGGCCTCATAATAGTGCCCTAGAATCGAAGACCTTCCATAGCTCAGTTAACCTGTATTACATTAACAAAACCCAAGCCTAACAGCTCTGTCCTGGGCAGCATACATGGCCTACCAAAGGGAAAACCTCACAGTGCTGCTCTTCAGATGGTGGCATTCATCCACACAGCTGCACGCACGCAGAGTACGTTCCCATACAAGCACTTTGCTGCCGGGAGCCTCCAGAACCCACCTGTGCTGTGAGAATGAGCTCACTGATGATGTGTGCTGCGTGTTGACACCTATCAGGAAGCCCCATGACCTGTGCGACTCTTTCAGAACTAATCCCATCATCTGTGAAGAGAGGTGGCAAAGACTAAATTAAAAGCAGAAAACATTCACCCCTCAATAAAAGCTTCCTTCTAGCACCACCGCTGCTAGCAGCATTTTCACACAACGTAACTACGTTCCTCCCTCCACCTTCAGCCCCCTCTTCCACAGACTGAAAGAAGACAAAACCCAACCCACATCACAGATGGAACAACATTCAAAAGGCAGCACTTCCAAATGTCAAAAAGCCATGAAAGAAACTGATATAATTTTAAGAGGACAAAGGCAGCTTTGATAGGTGATCAGACAGCCAAGGACCCAGAGAAAGTTACTTAGAATTAATCAACTCCTGATCCCCAAAGGCTTTAATGTCCTGAAGGAGAGCTCTTTAACAGGAAATAAAAGGTTTATTATTGTTATTTTGTTTATCCAGACGTAACTGCTGTGACATCTAATGTTTCCAAATCAGCTGTATATAATCTTACACTCTGAAAACCAGAAAGTGCACGAGGAAGCAGCACATCGTATTTAAACGGGTTTCAGAAAGAGACACAATGCACCTTTAAATTAGGAAAGCCTAGCTGCTGTAACCTCAGATCAGATTCACTTTAGCAATCCCAAACTGGAACACTGGTCGGAAGGTAATGGCTCTCCATCCTCACACAAACCTGGTTTAAATTGAATCCTAACTCCAGCATCATTCTGAATCTTTTTGATCATTTCGCCATTTCTTCCTATCACAATTCCAACAGCAAACCTGGGCACAGAGACCTGATGGGAAAGGCAAAGCAATATGAAAGCTCAGAGAACTAAACTGAATGGCTCTGATTTTACAAGGAGATGCTCTTAACTATGAGGACAGGCAGCTCCAGGCTACAGAACCGTATCACTTAAGGAAAACAAACATGTGGCCACAAATTCCTTCCCCACTAAATGAACTCTGCACTACAAGAATGCAGCTTAAAAAGTCAATTAGAAAAGTGCCATCTGGGAGTCCAGGAGAACTCCTCCTCTTTGCAGCCAGCCTCTCATTTCTGGCAAAAGAACACAATGCATTTAGAAAGAAAGCTTACAGGTTACATGTGCAATTTGATGACTTCCACCCACTACCCATCCCACAGGGAGGTTAGCAGAGTAGTCGTGAAGAACACATACCTCTATGCTGCCTCCTCCCATTCTAGAACTGAAATCATTGCGTACGCCTCGGAAGTCTGCCTGATCTTTCTCTCGGATGATCTCCAGTACCATTTCCCTCGCTTGCTACATGGGGAAAGAAGTTACAGTTAGCTTCAAATGATTCTGCTTGCCATCCTGGTGTTAGGGCCTCAACAGTGGCTAACGGTCAGGCTTCAGGCAAGGTGATCTCCATCTGCTCAAGGGAAATAGCATCCTGATTTAGAATCTCTTTTACCACAGTCAATGGAGATCTTGATGGCAATTTCCACGTCTGATAAAACCTGCCCAGTGTGCAAGGTGGCAGTTTCTTGTGTGCAATTGCTTCCTTCAGGATTTCAAAAAGGCCCTTTAGCTTTTAAAATATCTCTGCTTTGTTTCTAAATTAAAGGAAGCAAAGGCCCTTTCTTACTGCACAGAACTAAACCCAATATAGTAGAAACTGTGACAACACAGCAGAGATCATATCTACTAAGAGCTAGAGCGCACGTACCAAGCAGGCAGGTGGGCAGAAGTGATCTTACTGACCCTGAAAAGTTAAGTCCAAATCTGCAGCAATCCAGCATGTGTCCCTGCCCATGGCAGGGAGCTGGAAATAGATGATCTTTCAGGTCCCTTCCAACCCAAACCAGTCTGTGATTCTATGATTCAAAGACATTTTCTGAGACACATGAATATTCCTCCTACCTCCTTGCAGCCCTCAAGGCTATTCACAAGCTTGCACATAACCCTGCCAGTAAAAGTGTACCTTGGAAATAAGCCAACAGTAGTCACCATTTGAAAAACCAAATAAAAGCTTCCATGTCAAAACCAAAGCCTTTGTGTCTATATAACACCAGTCAAGCTTTTGACATTTTGGTTCTATGTCCATGGTTGAGGGACACCGGTGAATCTGACTCCTTCCACATTTTCCATGCCCCCACAGTGTTTTTTACAGAAGGAAACAAGACACTTCAGAGAAGCCAAGGCAGGAATAAGGGCAATGCAGCATCCAGAGAATCCCACCAAACCCACGGATTCATCAAGCTTCTTCAGTGCTTTCTAAGCATGCTGAACTTCTCTATGTGCCTCAAAGCACCTCTTCCAGCCTATGCAGTCTCCATGCTTGCTTGGCATGATTTATGGCATGGAAGATGTGACAAGAACAAACCTTTGCAAGGCAAAAGAAGCCACACTTGAAGTATGATTTGGTTAGAAGCAGCAAGACCGCCATTAACCACCTTCTTGCATCTCTGTACCTCCACAATAAGTAGTTCGAAATCATTTAAATCTAAAAATCTAAATCTAAAAGCCCACTTGCAATAAGAGGTTTGTAAAATACATCACAAACACACCACCCCTACACACCATCAACTTCTGCAGCTATTTATGATTAGGGAGCTGCTGTGAAACAGACTAGATTAATACTTACTAGCTAGAGATTTAATACTTAGCAAGGTATGTAAAGCACTTGCTGAGAAGTGGAACGTGCCCCAGCTAAACTTTGATTCTGTAATTCAATCACTCCCATCATGCTGCAATCTTCCAGTCCCCAGCTGATCATGGGTTTTTGCTTTGAACCGCAGGTATGAATGTATCTGTAGAACCCTGACACAAGGAGACTGAGGTACCGCTATTAAGCAAACCCCTTGGTTTCAGGAGTTGTTGTGGGATTACTTGTTTAATTACCTGCGTCAGTTGGCTGTCTGAGATAGCAAACCCTCCACAGAACTTCCTCTAATGTGGGATTAAGTCAATAAGAACCCATCCGCTCAAGTATCAGAGCTATGATTTTACACAGCCTGGAAAGCATTGCAAAGCTACTTTCTCCAAACTCTCCTCCTCAGCTCTTCTCCTCCCCATGTGTGCTATCTGTGTGGAGTGAGAACTCCTAGGTTATACTGGGAACAAGCCAGCACTTGCTAGTCTGGTAGCTTAACTTGCTCGACTCAAACTTCACCTTACGAACCAAACAAAACCAACAAGGACCATTACATTTACAGTTGGATTCAACTCCTTTAGATGCTCACAAATAAGCTAAAGGTTCAATTCCTCCTCAGTTCTCTGGGGCAACTGCTTACTTTCATTACATACCTGTACTTTAAATGCATCTCCAGTAATACGGAGAGGTTTATCTGCTCCAGTAGGCAATGGACCGTCTTGGATCATGATCATTTTCACACCTGTTCGCTCCTGAAGAAAAAGCACAGAGCACTTTGCTAAGCAGAGTCCCTAAAGCAAGGGGCTACATTTTGGTTACTAAACATTACGTACGTGAAATCAGAACGCTACTTTGGCTCTTCACAGGGAGTTATAGCACAAATTCAGTAATAGTCCCAGAGTGTAAAGGACTGCCAGCAAGTAAGTGTGCTGCTCCTGAAGTTCTCTAACAGCTGAATCCTTTGCAAAGAGAATCCCTTCTACCTCAACACCTGATTTTTCAGCCCTTTCCAAAGTCTGTGGCTGCATATAATCGTTATTAAGTGACCAGCCTTACAACTACTGGATGACAAAGGCCTAATCAGGGCACTCAAAAAACCTACGTTTTTGACCTAGGTGATCTTCCAAAGCCCTGTCCTTTATGAAACTTGCACCAAATGGAGGGATAAAGAATGTCTAAGAACACAGATTCATACATAACACAACACTTTGAATTAGAAAGGGGTGGGATGAGGAAAAAAAGAAGACACACGTCAGCGTTATCACAGATCAGCAACAAAAGAGAAGCACAGCACTCTACGACAGCATAGCTGGCATTAAAAACTATTGCAGCAGCAGACTAGCCATAGCCTTGTCTTGGCTACAAGGATCCCCTCCTAAACAGCACGCACCAAATGTTATCTAAAGCACATGAGTTTCTTTCACAGTTCTGGCAGAACTCCACTACATGCGCAGCTGGGGCCAAACCGGTTTGGTTTGTAACACAAGACTGGAGTCCAGCTCTCCGAAGGCAGAAGAGTAGTCCCTGCTGTAGAAGGTTAGAGCATTTAAGGCTCTCCACTTCAGCACGCTCTTGTTCATCTAGAGAAGCTGCAGTAGGGAAGAGAGCCCTAAAGAAAATGCATCTTGCGCACCTGCAACTGTTTTATTGTTTCACCTCCTTTGCCGATGACTAGACCCACTTTGGATGCCGGGATCAAAATCTCCTGAATCGTACTGTTGCCATCAACATCGTTGTGAAAACCAGGTCCGTTCCGACAGCGATCTACAATCTGCCCCAGTAGCCGTTTTGCTTGTCTTTGGAAAAGAATCGAGGGAAACAACCATTAGACAACATTGTTCCATGTGACCAAGAGCCCAGGAACCATCGGAATGGGAAGCGATTGGGGAGAGGAGAAGAAGTGAAAAGATGGAGGAAACCATAGTTAGCACAATGTTTGCTTTTAACTCTTTAATGTATATTTTCCCCTATCATGATTACTTATAAGCAGTTTGGGTTTTGAAAGGGGAAGAAAGAAGGAAGAGCAGCAGCATGCTCTGACCTCTTTGGAAGTTAAGGATAATTCTTGAACTATACCATTTGGGGTGCTTATTTTGAACAAAGATGCTCTAGGTTCTAAACTTCTCTAAACTTTTTAACATATATATATAGTATTTGGTAAAACTCAAGCTCTGTTCTGCTTGGTCAAGACAAAAAACACACAGTCCCCTGATACTAACACAGCACACTGGTTGATCTCTCTCACAGTACAGGCAACTGCCTTGCTTTTCTCTGCCTGCTCTTACCAGCAGCACCAGAACACTGTTCTAACACAGCCTCTGCCCCAAGCAGCAGGTGCTGAAGCTACATCGCAAAGCAAGGCAAGGATACTGCAGCAGCGACCACTGAAAGACTGGGTTCTTCTACTCCTGCTGAGAAGAGACACACAAAGAAGCATTTGGGAGATTAGAGATCTCTGTTCCAACACCTTTAGGCCACGTTCCTTTCATCCTGAAGACTCCTAGTACCAACACATCGCTGTTCTGTCCTTCTTCCACAACCCTTCTCAAAGGGTGGAAGAAAGCCACTGGTTCCCTATTCAGCCTAAAGCAGCATCTTCCCCTTTCACCAATTCACCCCAAGCCATATCAGGCACTCTAAGATGACTGCCTTCACTCTGGTGAGTTGAAGGAACAGTACAAAGTCACCCCTCACAAGCAGACATCACTCAAAACAGCTCAGAGGGTGGTGATCTGAGGCTGCATAGATCAGAGCACTGCTTTCTCAAAAGGTCAGAGTTCCAGAAACCCACTTTAAATACTCTGTAAGACTCTTTAAAAGGTTTTCTTCATGTACCTTTATACCTTGCACAAAGTTCTTTTAGTGACAATATAAAGGCTACAACAGTTAATGCACAATTATTTCAGATAAGAAGAGGTCATTTGGAAATAAACCCTATTAATTTGCTGCTGGATATGACTAATGGGAACACTCCTCTCTCAAACCTCACAAAGAACTCTAACACCTAGACTGGTTTCCTTACTATATTCCCTTTTTCTACAGTAGCCTGAAAATACAATTCAACCAACCAACCTGACATGAGTTTTAGCACAAAAGTAAACTAATTTTTGCCTAATTCCATGCTCTACACACTTTTTCTGCTTCACAAATTGAGTACTTACTTTTTAAAAGCTTATATATATTTTATTTAAAGACAGCCTTGGACATGACTATGTTTAACTGCTTATTTCAGAGCCAGGAAGTTTTAACTATGCTTCTCCCCCATTTTCCCCCAATTGCATCTCATAATGCATCCCAGCTTTTTAATATTTTGCTCTTGTTCTGAAATAGCCTTTGCTATAGGGGGGAAAAGCACTTCAATATCAGCAAGAATACACTGCGTGCCCTATAATATGAGCTTGCCAATTGTATTTATTCTGGCTCACTGCTTGCAGTATTATGGTAGAATAAGGAGATTTAAGTAGCCTTAAATCTCTTAGGAATGGAAGAATGATGAATGTCTTCTCTTTAGAGAGACAGTCTTTGCGCCCATGTATTTTCACTATCAAATGCAACTCAGAGATTTCCAGATGGATTTTAAAAAACCCACCTACCCAAAGGCTGGGGAGAGAAAGAGCAGCTCCATATGTTAAGTGTGTTCCTGTAAGCCTGAGGATCCTGGATCCAGTTCCAGCAGGAGGTCCTCAACTGGTTTGTGAGAGTCTCAAACTCAGCTCCTGGGAAGGGGGAGGGAGGAAACACTGTCCCTAAAGTTTCTATAGGACTAAAGAGTAGAAACCCCTGATGGCTGGCCACGTGTCTCTACCATGCAGGGATCAGAATTCAAGACTTTGGTTCAGTCCTTTGCTTCTTGTTGGCAGCGATGCAGAGGCAAGCACACACCCATGGGCCTCATGCTGCTCTGCAACACCAACATCTCCAGAGTATTCTGGAGTGGCACCAACAGGCTTTGGAGGCCTCATGCAGCCCTTCTTCAGCTGGAAGGATGGTCATCTCAATAGGAGCAGGGAAGCGAAGGGGAGAAGAGAAATGCCCTTCAGCAGCTTAGCTCAGTATCCTGGAAAGCTGCAGTTGGAAAACTGCATCCTAGGTGCCCTAAGAGCAACCTTGCCCTGCAAAAGGGAATTCCATGGGAATTTCTGCAGCGGGTTCAAACTGCAACTGGAAAAAAGCCTTTGAGGTGCACAGTTTAAAGCATCAGACCACGAGGTTCTATGCTCCAGAGACCCTCAAGTTTCTCTAGGCCAACATTTGCTGGTGTGGCTAACTAAGTAGCACCACTGACAGAGCATAGCATTAGGGAGAAGAGAAAGAAGGAAAAAGGAGAGAAATGAAATCAGAACTCACTCAATGCTCTCTGGTGTCCCGGTGAGTACACAGGGCCTCTCAGGCATCCCACCACTGTCTACAAAGGAAAAAAGAAGGAAACTTTCAATACATGGGATTAAGAAAACAGCAGCAGTTTCAGTAACTACCAAGCACTAATGGAAGCACTGCCCCCTCTCTGCACACAGAGCATGCTAATGAATTCTAAGACATGCAAAGGTCAACATATTTTAAATGATTTGCTGGATGTCTGCATTCTTTGAAAGCCTTCTCTACCAATTAAAGGGAGGGGTAAGAACTTAGACCACATTCATCACCATTTCCCAGTGCAGCACTGCAGTAGTCTTTCCCAACGCAAACAGGCACTAGCACAGAACAAATGGAAGGTCCCAGTTTTTCGATGCAAGGCCAGTTGTACTATGAGCTGCTGCCACCCTCCTGAGATGTCTTCTGCCAAGGGCTGGAGCTGACCAGACTATCAGAGACAAACGGCAGAGCTGAGCCAAGTGGTCAGCTAGGAGAACACTCAGCAGTTGCAATTCCAGGTCTAAGTACAACACGGATTGTCTGTTTGCACTGTACCCATCTGCTGGCTAAAGACAGCTCCTTAATTGTTTCATTCCCTAAGCCACCTGACAAACCTGTTTTCTATGTTAGCTGGGAGGTCAGTCCCAGGACAGCTCCCCCATGCATGTTAGCCTCGTGTTTATCAGTTGGTAGCACACCACGAGTGTGGCAAGGCGCCTGTTATAATGGGCACAGCATCCTTCAACATGAAAACCAGTTCACCCACCACACAAAGTGGCTCTTACCTGGAGCAATCTGAATTTTGCAGCCAGACTCTGCCTGAATCCGTGAGATCTGTTCTCCTCCCCTGCCGATTACTGAAACGAGTTCAACAGGCATCAGAACATACCATTTCCCCAAGTAACTGCAGAGCACCTTCCCCCTTTAACTCTGCTGCAGCTATCCATAAAGGAACAGTTTGACTCCAGGATTGCAGAAGAGGCATCCACAGCATGACCAGATTTATCACAGCAGAAAAACATTAAAATACTGCTGAAAGTTACTCTATTTGCTTGGGAAAAGAAAACGAAACAAAAAAGCCTGTCTTGCACTAGAATGGAAATACACAGTATTCAAGACATAAGGCAGTAGTTTGAGTGCTGCTAGATGAGTCATTTAAGTATATCTTGTTCAGCTTGAAAAATAAACCAGTTATTTGGGGTACTGAGAAAAGGCAAAGACTCTTATTTCTTTAAAATTCACCTTTTCCTGCCTCTTTTCAATGCTATCTGGCTGGTCTGCACTCAAACAGAACTGCTATGTACTGAAATGCTCTATCAACCTTAAGTGAAAACAAATACCCATCTCCCTTAACTCTTGGAGCTGGCACATCATTGCTTCACAGCAAGATACCTAGAAGAGACTATGTGCCAATCACCACTTACATCCTTCCCAGACTGCAAAAAGAGCAAAACTGTCATGTCAAACAGCTATGCCTGGCTCAAGACGCTCCCACAGAAGCTGTGGGTTTGCCACCTTCCTGCATCTGTCTGCCCCTAAACCAAGATTAGACTTAACACAAAGATGATGCACCAACAGAGCAAGCTCCCTTCTCTCAGAGCTACAGCATCCCTCCAATGTTCCCCCACATGTGGCATGAGGACCAATAAACCAAGAGGTCTGTCAGGCAAAGAGTGAGTGTTTCCTTTAGAGGAATTTGATGTACAGTTTTATAGTGCCTTTAGAATGGGGACAAACTTCATGCACTAAGGGGTGATTACCATGGCCTGTTATTTTCCTTTTTACTCTCCATATATCAAATGTGAAGATACACACAGATGTAGCAGTGGAAGAATCTATGCAATCACTGTAGTAACGCATCAGCAGGAGGTGCCATTGAAAGGAAGAGTAATGATCATCAAGAGGAAGAGAGAAATTAGGATCAAGCTTGAGAGAGAATAGCATCAGGAATGCAGATCTAGGAAAAATCCTCATCTGAGCACTGCATGCTGCTTGTGTTTCCCTGCAGCAAATGTATGAGGTTTCCTTAACAAATTAAAATTCTGTTTAATTTCCCTCGATTCAACTCAATTTAACATTTAAATGCTGTTTTCTTCCCTCAACTCTCAGTTTTGCATACTCAACACAAGTGAAATGTTTCAGTGAGGGGAGATAAATTCACTTTTGACTTGTTTATGTACTATGCTAGTGGGAATTTAAAGGAGAGAATCACTAAAACCCTCAGTAACTTGTACCACGGTCTTGTTCTTATTACTGGGACATGAAGCTTTCCATGCTGTATGCACCTGGATTTTAAACACAGGTCATCTGGTCCCCATGAAGACAGCATCAGACAAGGCCTATCCAAGACTAATAAACACAGAATCTTGTGACCATGTCAGAATAAACAGCATTCCCACACAGAAAGCACACCAAGAAACACCAAAAACATCCAAGGTACTTACTAAATCCAACCATTTTATCAGGCACTTTGAACTCTTCTGTTATTACAGCCCTAAAAAAGGAAGGAAAAATATCAAATAGTCATTACAAAGAACAATTTGGGAGACAACTATGTCCCTGCCACGGAAACCACTGCACAGGCACAGCATTAAAGCTCCTGCACACAAATAAACACCACGTCAAGTCAACATCATTTGTTTTGGAAGGAAACTCTTGTGGTCACCTAACTTCTCCTATGCTGGACACATCTTCAGTCTATTCTCCATCATCTTCAATAGAGCCAATGGAAGAACCTCTTTATTCTTGCTCCAGACAGGTTTAACAGAATAACAGCAAACTGTCTTTAATATTTACCCTAGACCTTCCAAGCTGTAGTCTCTGCCTGCTACTTCTGGATATGCTCTTGCCAACGGACACTAACCAAAGCCAATCCTGATGTGAACACACCCTCCAGTATTCAGAGATAAGGAACTGCTTGTCCTTATAATTCTTGTTCTTGGAATTTATAAAAGCTGTCTTCAATTACGCTTGGAAGCATCACTATCTCAAGACTTCCATATCTATTGCTCTTTGGACTTTCTCAGTGTGTCTCTACAATTTCATAAGACCTGACCATAGGCAGGTTGGAAGGAATTAAATTTGGTTTTTTTTTGCTTAGCATTTCTATCTTGTAGAAAACCCAACACAATAAATATGGAATTTGCATATATTTAAACAGGAATCATATATAATTTGTTCAGCAATCTCCAAAGCAATAAAACACCTGCATAAGCTCAATGCAGGTTTTGTGGTGAGGTGTATTAAAATCTTCCCATTTGTTTTGCTCTGTATCAGTTAGGGAAGGTATAAAATACGGATTAGGCTTCACCAACTAAGCTGCAGATAAAGCACCCTCCGCTGTCTTGAGGCTCACTAGCAGTGATGCTAAACCAACCAGTGCCATCTGTACCTGCAACAGAACACACTTGCCTCACTTCACTCACTGCAGAACTCACCTGCTACAAGGAGCTTCAGGATTACTGCTGGTTTACATGCCTGTTTCCTAAATGTCCTATCCTGCACCATTTGTTAGTGACCCTGTGTTGGAGGAGCAGTTGCAGCAGGCAAAGCACCTAACCTAGGAGAAAACCAACCACCAAAACCACAAAGGAACCAATTCAGGTGTTTCAGCCTCACCAACTCCCTGCACAAACGTTGCTCCTGGCAGAAGAGTGGTGGCAGGTAGCAGCACACAAGATGACACTGTTCACCCCTTTCTGTGCTGCCCACGCTGCACATCAGCATTAACCTAACCACTACAAATGGAAGGATCCACAGTCGTCACATACACTGCTTGTCCTTTCTGCTGAGGCCCCCAACAAGCAGCTGGGGATGATGGAAATGCACTACTATTAGCCCAAAGGCAAATCCAGCTTTAGAAATGCTCTCCTCTTCCTACTCAAAACAAGACAGACAACTCCTTAAGACCAGGATTCAAGAAGAACTAAGAATTTTACTTTTATCTTCAATGCTAAGACATGGTAACTCACACTTGCTTCAGTCTCCCCAGACCATCTCTGACAAAGGAGTCACCCCAGGTCATATTACACCAACAAAACAAAATCCTAATACTATCCCCAACAGTAACATCTACCTGCCCATTTAATACTTCCAACTTCTGTCAAAATGCCAGAGCTGTTTTTCACTCTTTTCTTCTCACCCCACACCAGGGCAGGAAAAGGAATAAGAGGGAGAATTTATTCTTCTCAGTCCTGCACATTTACAGGAACCAAATCCAAGTTTCACATCGACTCTTCTTTCATCATCGTAACAAACCACAGTAAAGACTTAGCAGAAACTCCAGCCTGGAGAAAACCCAAGCTGACAGTTTCTCCACATCCCCAACCTCTGACTTGCTAACACTACTACAGATGGCAGATCAATAAACAATTAGAATTGATCAATAAATAATAAAACATAACCCACTGCTTACCTTTGATGTACCAGGGCCCCTAACTGGTTACCTACTGTGGCAGAGAGAGAAAAAAGGAAAAAAATCAAAGCATTAGCACGGATAAACTAACTTCATCCCCATAGAAAAAGAGTTCTTACCATTTCATCAAAAAAAAAGAAAGAAAAGCAAAACAGTAATTTAGGTTCAGTGGCTGAAATGAATGCGTTATGTGGTGCAAAACAGGAGGGGATTTCTTGATCAACACACACCATAACGCAGTGTCCAGCTGAACACAGGATAGGGAATTGATCTGCGTCTCCCCATGCTGAGAGTCATGGGAGAAAATCCTGCCTGCCCAAATCCAAATCCCTGCAAGTAACCTCCCCCCTTCCCAAATTAAGCCCAGAGTAGTAAAAAAAGGAAGAAAAGGGAGGGAGGGAGGGGGGAGAAAAGACATTTCAAGCACACTGCTGTGCATGAAAAAAAGCACAACAAAAATGAAAGCCGAACAGACTCAGATTTGTCAAGGCAAAAAGCATTCAAGACTGCTTGCACATACTTCTCTCTGCGTCTCTTATCTGTGCTCCATGAAGCCCACTTACACGGAGACCTGTTAGAGGAATACGTCTGTTAAGTAACCTTGTGGCACCCAAACAGTATTTGCTTTTAAACCCACCACATCTTCCTGAACACACACATTCCAGACGTATCTGCTATGTTAGCTGGTGGTCCGTTTATGATTAGCAGTTATCTCCCCAGCTGACAACCCTCAACCAGATTTCTGCCCCCCCTCCCCTCTACCCAACCTCAACAGATTAGATCTTTCTTCCAAATGTTAATGGGGAAAATATCATTAGACCAGCTCATGCAAAATGGGAACACACACCCTGCTGGGCTTCCTACTGGACTTTGCCTGCAGCAAGCCAGCTAAAACCCAGACCATTTGGTCCTAACAACCAGTTGAAAGATTATATTGCATGCCTGGAGGGCACAAGCAGCAAACCGAATGAAACCGGCCAACATGTGAGCTCTGATAATAAAGATGCTGTTTCAAACTACCTTGCAGCAACTTGCACATTCTTTGACCTGAAATAAATTGGCAATCAGCTGGCAGGGTTAGAAAGCGGATGCATCCCACTTTCTCTAAATCCAGGAGAAAGATGGATAAAGTTTGTGGCCAAGCACTTCACTCAAATAAAACAGACAAAGAGGGTCAATACTGTGTTTCTGCTGCGTGTCAATATATTCATAATAGTTCAGGACCAAAATATTGACAGCATATATATTTTATTACTTTCCCCAGCTCAGTGATAAGACAACTGCTGTGTTATTGACTCCATTAGATTTGTCTTTGCATATTCTCACCCTGAATATAAAGAGCCCTAATTTGATAACTATCAATACTGCAGCTGAAAAAGGTGGGTGATGTAATGAGGAATATTTGCTCTAGCTCATAAGATACTACTGCAGAGCTGAGCAAATACAACCAAATGCAGGATCACACCATCTTGCCCGAAACTGTGCTCTGGGTATGCACAGTAGGTCTGGTGGCTGTGTTTGGGATTGCCCTTGCCACAGACCAGGCCAGTCATTATCCCAAGCTGCCAGAAAGAGCGGTCTCAACACGACAAGGCTGTATTTAAATATCCGCTTCACATTTGAGTTCACCAGAACAGCTTTTAGCAGCCTGTTCCACTGCAGCCGCTGCCCACAAATTATGAGACAGACACACATCCTATAATCAACTCCTGAAGTTCACGCAAGGAACGGAAGAGCCTTCATTTTGTAACACAATCCTACACTTGAAAAAGACAACTTCATCGGGGGGAACACGTATGAGCACGAGAAGTTAAATCACAAAGGGAAATAATGCTTTACATGAACCTAAACGTCTCCAACCCATCCCGAGCACTACACAAACACAGCGAGCCACTCGCCACCCCAAGCAGATATCAGCCTCGCTGTGTAGTTATTACAAATCAGTTAACAACAATTAAGCCACAATAATATATGGATGAGATCATTCCTTCCACGTTTCACAGATAAGCCCTCCATGAGCTCAGATAGAAGGCAGATGGAGAGAGCTGGGAGTGATTTACGTGAAGTCAGTTGTTATTTCTCCCTGATTTGGGGGAGGGGGGGAAAGAAACAACTTGTGGTTCCAATAACTTAAAGGTCCATTCCTTCTCCAACATGCCCATTTTGCTCTGAAAGCCAAGGACTAATAGAGAGGCAGGGCTGAGGCAGACCATGCTCACTGCAATACCCAAAGCTGATGCACTGGCTCCACTATCTCAATCTTGACGCCAGGGAGGGGGCTGAACTCTGACAAGCCACGTACATATTTCCCCCTTTTACATCTATTGAGTACAATTTAACCGTAACTGCAGTCATTTTACTGCAAATAAGGAAAAATACTGAATAAAATCAGCACAATTTCCTATTAATGGCACCTGCTGGTTGAAAACTCTTCACTCTTCTTTCGGCTTCACCTTAACTGAATTCTACCTAACAGACACTCAAAACAAATGTGGATTTTTTTCCACCCCATAAAACAGAGCGCTGCCTCCCACTAAATTAATGTGCACGGAGGGAATATACAATCTCATCAAGAATATCTTCATGGCTAGAATAAAATCAGAGCAACACATCTCCTGGAGAGCAGTGGAACAGGGCTGCAATTTCATACTTTGGAACTAAAATAGGATCACACTGGACATTTTAGAAAGGAAGACATTAGTGGCCCTGATTCTTCACCATTAAATATTGCTAGACTTTTCTTTAATTAAATGCTCACAACCTAATATTTTTCACTGCAAATCTTCATAGGCTTTTTTTCCTCCTCCTTTAAGCTGCCCTATTTAAGTAACAGTGAACTGTGAAGTTGCAGTTTCAGAGAACACTGCCATTCTGTGTATTACACTAAACCTTTTGCTAAGAGATCTGGACTTTTGCCCTGGTCTTAGTGCTTACTGCTGGCTTAGTCTTAGTGCTGCCGCAGATGTGTCAAGGAGCACTACCACCAACTTTCAGCAGCAGTAAGACAGAGGTAAGATTTAATTCTGCCCATCACTACTTTCACTGAAAACACATTGAAGCAAAAGAATAAAGTACAGCAGGATCATACAGGGTTACTACAGTCAAGTTTTATTACACCAAAACAGGCCACCTTCATATCTGCACCACAAAAGCTTTGGGAAGGCAGAGGGATGTGAGGCTTCTCTGAGGTCTCTAACCTTTGTTTCCCCAGCCTCAAGGATATCCCAGCCTCCAGCTACAACACTGCTGCTTAACCCTATGTGTATCACTGGAAACTTCTGCAAAGCAGTTCAAACCAGGGCAGACAAAAGCCATCATTCTGGTTATCAGTCTCTTTACAGCAGGCTAGATCCCCGTTTCCTTTGAACAAAAGGAGCCTGTTTCTTTAAGGATTATTTAGCATTGAATGAACTTATGAAATCGTGCTAGTACTTAGAGAGACCCTTTAATTAGAATGGAAGCCAGGAGCAGCCATGGCCCTTACCAGGAGGGCTGAGATCCATCCTCAGCTGTGGGTCACAAGCAAGATGCCACCAGGTCTCTGTACAGCTCAGACTTACCCCATCTCTAGTGCACACCTCCACAGGGAAACATTAACCCCTGCAAGTGACCATGTAAATGCAGACTACGATTTCCTGTGAACAGTACAAATAAACCTGATCTGCTCCCTGCACTGTAGCTATTTGCAGGATTACTTTAAAGTTGTTTCCAGAAAGAGGAAATAAAGAAGCCAGGGAAAAAAGAAATACATCACTCTCGAGCCCCATCTAATACCAAAAGGCCAAGTCACCAGGGCCAATCCCAGCAGCTCTTTGTTTCAGATGAAGGTTATGTTAAGGGAAGTGCAAAAGGCACCCACATGTTCTGGTTTCCAACACTATGACAAACCCATTTTTCCTGGAAATGCTCTAAAAGCAGCTGGATTTGTTTTGACAGTGCACTGTCACCCTGTCTGAAGACCACTTCCTAAGCTGACATCAATCAGCCATACTAGCAGCTGCTTACAAAAATGGACAGGCAGAATAAAGCTTTCTGGAAAGATGAGACAGTTTTCCTGTCACTTTAAACACTTCCTCTGGGCCCCTTTTTTCAGGATTATTAGGAAGAGAAGCAATTTTCTAACAGCTACAGGGGGATAAGGAAGCAGCGAGACCTGCACTCAGCCGTGAACACACAGTATATGGAGGTAAACAATCAAATGCTTTACCACCAGGTTTGTTTCCAAGCTGTCCAGAGCAGCAGAATGTATCCAAACCCCCGCACCATAAAATTCCTAGAGCATGCATAACAACATAAGTAATTGCTTCTTGACAACCATGTCTCCAAACTGTGGTTCACAGACAAGCAGAAATGGAGAAGAGTGTGGGCAAGCAACCCCAACACCCTTCGCTTGCAGCTAACAGACAACTAAGAGATCATCCAAATGGGAAGTGCTTTCCTAATTTAAGTGTCCTATTAAAAGCAACTGCCATCTTCCAGATGCTTAAAGTTGCATTATAGACTTTTAATGCCAAGGCAGCAAGAGCAGGTAGTCTAAGACTAAGTTATGGATCATACTACAGAGAGGAAGAAGCATCTGTGGCTTTCAGGAGGTCCTTTGCCAGGCTGCAGTTCTGGGTATGCAGTCTTAGCAGCACAGGGGGATCATGCCGTGAGGTGGGGAACTCATCACACAATTGTCAGTACAGGTCTTACTAATGCCTTTAGAATTAAAAGGTAAGATGAGCAAAGCTGAAAGAAGCGATACAACCCTTGCTCTTACCCTGACAATTTCTTTGTGAAACTCCAATCCCTGAAAATATTACTCCCATAATTTCCCTTCTCCTTAAGATCCTGGACAAAGTTATAAAACCTACAGATGTGCATGAACAACCTAAAGGCAAATACAACATTGGAGCTACTTTAAAAGAGTTACGAACAAGGCCCAGTGCTGAACTACTGGGTGAGCAAACACCCGTAGGTCTTCACACCAGCAGAACAACCAGAGTGAGGAGTACAGCTGCTCCAGAAGGTGCTCCCAGGCATGACACCTACTCCATGCAATTGTCTATCACAACACAAGAATCCAGCAGTAATGTACATTTACAGCCCAGACTGCAACTGTATTGACACTGGTTGTGGCAACACAAACAAGGCCCAGCAAGTAATAGGGCTGCTCACGAGGAAAAGTTTAGGTACAAAGTCTAAGTTGTGCTGTCATTAAGCACTATGACCATTTCACATGTTAAAAGTTCATCAAAACAACATTTTATCAAGAGGTCAGGTTTCCTAGTTCAGTCTGATGGATCAATGAAAGAAATGGGCAGGGCTCACGTGATGAATGCCTAGTTCCTAGAAGGCTACCAACACACAGCAGTAATACCAGGCCTCTGGCTGCTCACGGACACAGTGATGCTCCAGTCTGAGATACAAGGCACAGGAGCTCCCCCAGATAAACCCATGTTTTCCTAAAACACCAAACCAAAGGAGCTGCAACCTCTTGCTCTAATAGAACCAACACCAGAGAACGAAGTGGGTTGTGGCACGTGTTCATAAGTTAGCGAGCCAAAGGCTCCACATGAAAGAAACTTCCCCTCATGCTCCAGCTCTCAGTAAGAGAAGCAGACACGCAGTATTTTTCAGCCTTTGTATTAGACAAAACCCAAATTATTTCCACAACGAAGTGCTAGGCAGTAGTTTGCTTATCTCCTCTGTACTCCTGAACGTATCTTAGGGGGACAGAATCACCCTGCAGGGCTACCTGCATCAGTAACATACTAGAGGAGGTAGCAAAAGGAGATGTAGTCACATTTATTTCTAATAACCAACCACAGGAAAAAGTGAGCTCTTCTCATCTGTGCAGCAGCAAACAAGACAGTTCAAATACTTCTTGTAAGAGTGCACATCATTAGTTTGTAATAAAGAAAACGCCTGCTCTAACACTTTTTGGCTCCCAAAGATAAAAAACTAACAACTTACTTTAAAATGATAACAGTTATTATTAACTCATTACAATTAGCAGGTATGGTACACCAATAAATCCTTCTTTGGCTGTGGCCAATGCTAAATGCTTCAGAGACTGAAGAAATACCAAATAATTATGAAGAAAAGCAGGCAGCTTCCTTCCAACTTGCATCAATTTACATCAATACATTCCTCCTTAAAATTCACATGCAAAGCCATGAGAACTCTTGTCAGTGACTCAACTACTGTGCTGTGGTCACTGCTACACGTGGCAAGGAACATGTAGTACTGCCCCTGTACACCCCGTTCTCAGAAAATAGGGGCCACCAGGGAAAAACAGCTTTTTATGTACCTTGGGTACTGTATATACAGGCTCCATCACAGTTCCAATAAGCACATCCTCCTCCTTCTTCCCTCCCACAGCTACCACAGAACAAGATTTAAACTACAGAGTTCATTTGTTAATTCCCAAAGTTCATGAACTAAGAAAGAATTGCTTTACATTAATAATACCAATGCTTAGCAGGTCCATGCTATCTAGAGAACACTAAACAGCACAGAGCATCTTGTATAAAACATATATACACAAGAAGATGCATTGACTTGTGTCCTTAAAGCAGACAACTGCCTCCATAGCTGAATTTCAAGGGCTGCATCCACAAGACTAACCACAGCAGCGTACCTCCATCATCCAGGGGCCGTTTCTGCACTCCATAACCGTAGACTGATGGGTCCACAAGTGTTGTAGAATTATTCAAGTGAGGAATATCTCCAATTTTAGCAGCAATCTATAAAAACAGGGGATAAAGCACGATTAGCATACTTGAAGTTTCAGCCATCACAGCTAAACACTCTTTCCTGCAATAAGGCATTTACCCCAATCCAATCTTCTCTCAGCTATTTATTATACAGGTGGCTTTGTAAGAGTTCCAAGGCAGCAGTGCTTCATTTGTAAAGTAAACAATTTAATGCTTGCTTTTCATATTTGTTTAATTAAGATCACATTCACTCAGTTCCTCTTTCTGATCATCAGTAGGTATTTACTCCCTGGAACATTATATTCAGGTTTGTACACTCAATGAACAGCTGACAAGTTAAATCTTGCAAAGAGGAGAGTTCTAACTTGCTCACCAGCTTTGTCCTGGTGAAGCTGTCACCACTGTAGCTGTGTAGAAGGGCACAAGCCTCCTCCTGCATCCATGCATATCCAGATACACCAAAATGCACATCAGCAGGGGGAGTGAAAGGGGAAGAATGTGAAAATATACAGTACAGGGACAGGTTTGAGAGCTCCTTGTCACAGGGGCTGGATCACCCTGTGTTTACTGAATGAAGAATAAGCCAGTGGGCAAACTATTAGCCTAGAATTAGTTTCAGTTTCCTGTTGTGGTAAGTACAGCATAAACAGGACTAATGCTGCCTGTGTCCCTGTTTTCATCCCTTACAGAGGGGTAACTGCCGCTCCCTGCCAAGCCAGGATGCAAGGAGGATATTTACAGGAAAGAGGAGACAGTCAAGTATCACGGTAAGGGGACTGAGGGAAGCAAATAAGCTATACAAAACACTTAAACATCACTTAATAGAAGTGAGAAGTTAAGCTTGTCTTTAATGACATTTGGGAGATACCTATACAGATGGGTGCTGACAGGTTCACCTGCTCTCCAAGCTAACTGATATAAGATCACCCTAGAAAACACAGGTACGTTACTTTGGTGCTGCACCTACGTTAATACCCCCTGCAGGGACAGGGATGCTGCAGTCTTGCAGCACCCCTTGACTACCTAAAGTACTTTAATAAGCATGTGCAGAACAAAGTAGTTACAGAACAAATATAAAGCACTGTGTATGCTACAGCATTTGCTTCCTTTTCCAGCAAAAAGAAAATCAATGGATAGGATCTTTACTAGGAGTCTGATCTCACTCTATTATAAGTGAGAATTCACCAGAGAATAAGCTACAGGAACAGATGAAAGAGCATTTTACACAGATAGGTTTTAAATGAAGGGCAAATGACAAATATAACTATAGGTGTTTCTGAGTTTTACTGCAACAGAAAGACATCTACAGTAACTGTGGTTGTTGACACTATCGGCTGCTGCAGTCGAATAAACAACTGCCCAAGATTCAGAACCACAGGGTACTGAAAAAAGCTATTTGAAATAATCTTGAAAGATTGAGGGCACTGCTGTTAGAAAGAGAATAGAAAACATTCTCTTCAATGCCTTGCACGAAAAGGGCTCCAAGTTCTGAACATTTTCATCTCATAGCCCATTCTGTCCTGTCCTCTTTTAGGAAGTCAACAACTTTGTTGTGTCCGAAATGTCAGGACCTAGAGAACAAAATCTTCCTGCAGGGCCAGCACAGTGATCATGTAGTGAAGCTTTAATGACAAGCATCTTGTACATTAACATCTCCAAAAACTAATAAGCCCACAGAAATCTGATTCTGAAAGCATCAACACACTTTGTACACTTCATATTACAGAGTGCCAGGTGATGCCTTGCTCTTTGTTGAACTGCATCCCTGGTTCCAGCCCTTTGCTTTCCCCACACATTTGGAATGCAGAGGATTTTAATGAAGGTACAAAGAGCATTGATGTTTCCTGACTACTCAATGCTGAAAAATAAATTTTAAGACATATTTTATAACAATCTATCAGCAGCTTTAACATAATAACTTACAAGGATGCCAAAAGGAACAGTGTCAGGTATAACATACCCTGGCATGTTTTAGAACACTTGATTTTAAATATGTTTGTTGTTGTGGAAACTGCCAGCTGATAGTTTTGAGCTGAAACCACACACTAAGTGTTAAGGGAAAGAAAAAATAGCCTATGGACAGCAGAAGCTGGCCTACAACAGGCAGTTAGCATGCACTACAAAGGTGTGCGTGAACAGATCACTGGCACTGAAGCTGGCTGCTCCCAGAGCTTTGCAAGCCCCACTCGTGCTTAAGCACACAATTACCACCCCAACGCAGAACCCTGCAACTAAAAGGCAAAATAAGAGTCAAAGCAATCCTTATGTTATCAGCTTTCGGAATATATTCCCCCCACACACTTTATTTAAACTTGCCCCTTATCTCTACAGCCTCCCAGCTGCCAAGGGATTACAGGCACACGACACAGCACCTCACAACAGCAGGGAAAAACACCCTGCAAAATTCAGGAGTTGAGCTTTTAAAGTAGATGTGGCAGTTAAAATGCATTTTAACTTCTTATGTTCAACTTAAAATGGGAGCCTCGGTTTTTACTACAGGTTCAGCAGGGAGATAAGCACAAAAGTTAGGACATAGCAAAAGTAAGCAGACCTAGCTCTTATCTGGCTGTATGACCTTGAGTGATGTACTGCTAGCCGCTGCTTTTGTCCTGCTCTATGCCAGTCATATTCCTCCCCCCTCCCTTTTTTTCCCTAAACCAAATACATCCATATTACTAAGCTCTGAAATACACTAGACATTACACATTACTGCCTGTTTCTGGACCTTATTTCCCCCAAATAAGTATCTCTGACAAACACTTTAAAGGAGACAGCACAAACTGCAACAGTAAACCGAATAAAAACAAGATAGCCCACAAAGTTGCATGAAGAATATATGTTTTCCTACACCTTGCACTTCTGTCCTTCTATACCTTTAACACCCTCTAAAAATGGTATAATATGAAAACAGCCTTAAATATGAAGCTTCTTTGCTACTTACACCAGGACTCAAGCACCATTATCTGCAGAATTTAGCTTTGAAGAGAAAGGGCCTAGCTTCTGAAGAGAATCCCTCCATGCTGTCTTGCAAAGGAACTGATAAAATAATCAGTTCTAGGTCTAGTAACAGGATACAAAACAAGGTGCTGTCACCTGACCCTTCAAACAATTCCAGTGCTTCTGCTACTCTTCCCATGTGTCAAGCAGAACACTCAAGTCTGTGTGACAGACACTTAGCCAAAGCTCTGCAGGAAGGAGCAAAACCATCCACTTAAGTTTTATGTTACAGGTGGTTTTCCTAAATATTAGAGGATGAGCTGAACAAGTACACTGCAAGGGATAAAGTTAGTCTAACAGTCCTCCATCCCCATGAAATTATAAGTTAGATCCTCATAATAAAAAAGGATATAGCCTGTTAACTCTGAGGATATTCATCTGCTTTCAAGGTGCCCAAGATGGAATGCAACAGACTTGCCAAGCCACGGCCTTTCCTCTTCAGAGCATTCTCAGAAATCTGCATTCAGAATGTACACATAGCAGATTACAAGAACAGCTAATGTAAGAAGAGGGAACCAGTTAGTGCTGCAAATGCCCGTCTTGTACTGAAAATGAGACTGCCAAGAAGAACAAGGGAGGGTAAGAAACAAGCAAGATGCTATTTTGTCAGAATAAGCCTCAAGGGTAGTTGGACAGAAATCCCTTTCTGCCCAGAGCACAGGCAGCTTTGCTTGTTTTCAGATCCCATTTCTCAAAAAGGGAGCAAATACTCTCTTTCTCTGTGCCCCCCACCCCAAAATGCCACAGAAGAAAAGCCACCCTACCCAGGAGCAGTCAGACAGACCAGTTACCATCTGTGATCCATAAACTAATCCCCTCACTTGATGTATGGTGCAGAAGATACAGGACAGACCACCTCAAAGTCCCAGCATTCACTTGAATAAGTAACTTTTCATACATCTCAAGTACTGAAGAATCCACAAAAAATCCAAGCAAGTCCAGCACAAACACTGACAGCAATGTCCAAATTAATTTCTTTCAAAGCTATTCCAGATTTCTTACTCTTATGTCACCTCATATCCCAGGGACTTTGAGGAATGCAGTTACTTTCCTTTGATCAGAAAAGTCTTCCCTGTCCTGAATTACTTAGTTATTAGTAACTAAGCACTGTACTCCACAGCCAGATTTTAGTGTTATGGCTCTCGTGAGAACTGAAGTTTGCCAATTTGATGACTTGTCTTAAGTGTAATACTAAACTTTGAAAGAGTTTGAACATCAACCCAAGGATGCCACACCAACACACGAAGCAAGAAGTACAACTGAATCTTCTTCCTCTGCTCCTTCGTCCCCTTAAAGCAAAAGTAATACTCGGAAAGGGCCACAGCATTGGCCTGGAACAGTACTAAAGCTGACATCTATGCACCAGATCAGTGCAGTTCAGGCAAACACAACATTAAACACACACAGTGAAAGCTCTGCCATTGCCTCCAGAGAAGTGTTAGGTCAAACTGCCTTGACATCCCACCTGATTGTCAGCCAGCAAGTTTCATCACAGATTGCTTGGGTGATGAGGTAAATATCCATCCTCTGAGCAATTAAGACCATCTTCATTCACATTTGCAAACGAGTCACTAGTGACGATTCAGTCCTGCCATTCCTTGCAGCAGAAGACTACCAACAACGTCTCTATAGAACCAGATTAAACCAAGTCCTTTCGCAGAGGGGGGGGGGAAATAACTTGGTGCTTGCCAACAATTCTTTTCATCCCACAAACATCAATTGAAAAAAGTCATGTTCAACAGACAGCATACAACTCACTGCACAAAAATGTAGGCCCCTGTGCTCCCGTGAACACGTGCAGAGCACACACACCTCTCAACACACTTGTTTCCAAGGGAAAAAGACAGCGGCCAGGTTGCTACACTGCAGTGCCTGGCTTGAAGATGTTTAGACTAACTCAAGTTCAGACTAACTTCAAGTTCAGGCTAACTCAAGCCACAGACTCATGGAAAACTGATCCATTCTCACAAGTACTGATTAACTTAAGAACAGCAAAGTTGGAGTAAGTGAGCATAGCTAGGTTACAGAATTGTTTAATATTCCATCTCCTTTACATTAGGGTTTAGGGGGCTCTCAGAGTCACCCCACAAACATGACAACTGCAACCACTCAATGCTGATTCAGATCAGTTGCAACTTAACAGCAAATCATTTTTTTCTACACAAACAGGTTATTCAAAGATTATCCAGCTGCTAGCAGGCAATAATATTATCACATACTCAAGGAGATGTTTTTGCAATGAGAGGCCTTTGGTAGCAGACAACCAGGTTGAGACAAATACAGCTGCAACACCGCTCAATTTAACTGCATCAAGTAGATAACGCTGGACTAACAGCAAAGCTTTCAGACAGCACATAGCACCAAGGCCACAGCACTTTGTAAGCACTGAAGAAAGTGAATGCACAACCTCTTCCAAGGGGCAGCTAACACACAACCTGCCTACTGCAGGATCTATGCTGAGAAAGAAATGGACAACCAAAGAGCAGAGCAGATCATGGTCCCCTCTGTCCCCAGGGTGTTTGTCTGGAAAAGCAAGCACCTCAGTACAGGTTGCTGAAGGCCACACAGAACACAGACTTGTTGCCACGCCAATTCAACAGTGAGCCACGAGTGATGGCGAACTGCTTAAGTTCCATCCGGGCAATCGCTTGAAAGGTCCAGTTCAGTTATTTTAGAAGCTTCCCTGTGACATGAGAGACACGAGTCTGGGCAACAAGGAAATTTCTCCCACCTGGCCTTTAACACTGGAAGGAATAAAGTCACGTCTTTAAGCACCAGCTAGGCTGTGGTCCTGGTATTCAGCTGTCTTACATCTCACTGCAGTGCTGTTATTAAGCATGAATAAAGTGCAACCTGTTCAGAGACGGAATAAACACCAGTGACAGACATGGAACAAGAGATGCAACAGTCACAAAGTCTGTGCTGTGAGCAGCAGCTTCTTGTTTCTGGAAGCACTTTCCACCTGCTGAGGAGCACAAACTCCGGGAACGTCTTGTACTGACAACGAGGGTGCTGACTTTTGCAGGTCTGGGAGCTTTTGTTTCTTAGCACCGTGTAAACTCAGAGATTCCTTTGGGGAATGCTTCACTCCCACAGTCTCTCCCTCGCAGGAGGGAATGCAAAGCTCCCACTCTGCCAGGGTTTCTATCGATTAGCCGAACTCGCACTTACGGTTTCATTACTACCGTTATCCCCCACCCACCCATTGCAACGCGCAAGGCGACAGCCCCATAGGCGACAGCTCCTGCCGGCTGCACCCACACGCTCCGCCGTGTCACCAGCACCGGCGCGACCCGCGCTGCAGGGCCCTGTCACAGAGCCTCTCCCCAGAGCTCCTTCACCTCTGCCAGCAATGGACAACCCCGGAGCTCCCAAGCGTGGCCGCCGGTGCCGGCCTGCAGGCGAAGGGGCAGCGGTGCCGCGGCCCAGCCCCTCACAGCGGCCCCGCCTCGGCCTAGCGGCGCCCCGCGGCCTCCTCCCGCCCCCGGCCCGCCCGCAGAGCTCCTACCTGCCGGACCCGGTGCAGCGCGTCCACGAACCCCTCGGGCTTGATCCCCACGGGCGCTGCGCTCTGCCCCTGCGCCAGCTCCGCCATGGCCCGCGCCCACCCGCCGTCGCACCGCCCCGGGGACCCGCACCCGGAAAGGGAAAGAGCCCCCCGCTTCCGCCGGAAGTGGCACGGGGAGGCGGGGCTGGGGAGGGTTGGGGTGGGGGGGGGTGGTCGCCGAGGACGGCACGGCAGCTCACGTGCCGGGGGGGGAGGGGCCTGGCGGAGACACCGCCTCCCGCCGGCACCGGGAGGGCGTAGGCACCGCACGGACACGGGCACGGGCACGGGCACGGGCACGGTCGCTGCCCTCCCGGTCCCAGCATGGGCCATCCCCTGCCGGCCCGTCCCGTCCTGTCCTATGCTGCTTGTGACATCCCGTTCTCCTCCCATCCCACAACCTCCAGCCCATGCCGTACTGTCCCCACCTCTGCCAGCCCGTGCCAACCCCTCCATCCCTGCTATAGCGTGGCCGCAGAGGTGACCGCACCGTTTCACACCTTCCATGGACACGCCTCGTTCCGCAGTGCCCGTTTCCAGCCCACTCTGGTGTTTGGGGACCGTGGTTTTGGCTCATGGTGGATGGACCCTGCCATGGTGCTTGTGACACTGCATGAAGCTCCTGCAGAGCTCTGCCCTGCTTCTGGAGAGCTGGAGCCCCCAGGGGTGCCCAGCACCCCCATCCCCTGTGCCAGAGCCCCCAGGTCCAATACAGCCATGATGCTTCCAGCACAGTGGAGCAGGAGGCTATGGGATGATGCAAGGACCAGTTAGTCAAGGAGTAATGCAAAGAACATGCAAAGCTTCTCCCCTGAGCAAGGCGCTGCTGCAGGGCCCCTGCACAGCCCTTTTGGTCTCATAGATCTGTGCAATGTGGGGGTTTTTGGGGTGTCCCACCCAACCTGCCTCTCGGGCACAGATCCCATTGATGGGGGTACACACTGGCTGCAGGTTCATGATTCCTCCAGGACATGAGAGCAATGCCAGGCTGTGGGGTGATGGCACGGCTTATGGCACAGAGGGGACAAGGGGCAATGATGGGAACCCCGGTCTGGTGATACCCCCCCCAATTTGGCCCCATTGAGGGCCTTGAACTAACCCCCTCCATTGCAGAGCAGCTGCATGAGAGATGCAGTCTTCCACATTGGAGCTTGCATCCACCTCCTGCATGGCTGGGTTTGCCTGGAGTAGCCCAACCTTCACTGATCCCAGACCCTTTTTTCCTGAAACCACCAAGTATTTTATGCCCCAAGCTGTGTCGGCCCCATCTCAGCTGTTTCTTGCTCTTTCCAGTTTTATGCATCTCATTCCCACCCACATGAGTAGGCAGGAATTGCTGAGGCCCATGAAATTGCCTGGTGGCTTTCCAAGAGCAGGGAACACGCTTCTTCCCTGGGATGCACAGCCTGCTGCTGCTCACCTACGTTACACCAGTGGGCTTGCTGATCTCTTCCTTTTGGGATCATTTTCTTAAGCAAAATGCCTGTTTATTTTAGGAGAAAGGAGCAGAGCCCATGGGGCTCATGGATTTTAAGAGGATCAGTATCACTGCAGCCACCCCTCATCTTCCAGCCATGGTGGAGGCACCTTCCCCAGCCATGGCCAGGGCTTTGCTTCTTCCTCTCTTGCAAACAGCCCAAAGACGTTGCTGGATGCAAGGGTTTTCCCCCTCCTAACCCTGGCTCAGCACCAGCCACCTCTTTCCCCACGCAGGTCCTGGGTGGGGGGATCCCCCCAGCAACCCCATTCAGCTCTTAGCTTTGAGCAAGATCCACCCGGTGAACCCGCAGTTGATGCCAACCTCAAGGTGACTCCATAGGAAGGTGCCCAAATCTGAACCCAAAAGCCCCCAGTGCTGGGATGCCGGCAGGGAGAAGCCGTAGCGTCCACTGCCAGCACTGCATTTGGGGCTGGGAGAGCCAAGTTTTGGCAGCATCAAGCCCTAATAAGGGATGAAGGAACAACCTTGGTTCTAAAGACCAGGCTGCCAAGAGGGTGACAGCGACCCCAAGCACTGAGCAGGCAGGGACGGATGGGAGGGAGCCTGGAGCAAAGAAGACATCAGGCTGCAATGGAAAAGGAGGAAATTACAGGCCTTAAACACTTCCAGAAACAAATTTCTGATGTAAATCTTCCTTTTTGAAGGAAAATAAAGAAGCCAGGAGTGATTCTATGCCTCCATCCCCTGCATCCCCCCCTCCGGAGGCGCACACCTTCACACACACACTGAAATTAGTTGTGACAGCTGAAATTCTGCCCTCCTCGGACGCCGTTTGACAGGGTACTTAAAAAAGGAGGGGACAAAAAAACCCCACCACAAAATGGGAGAGGAAGAAGAAAAAGGAAAGTGGTTTGGTGTCGCCTGGGGAAGGCGGAGGGGGGTGATGGGGTGGTGGTGGTGGGGGGTTCGAGTGATCCAAGGCGCATAATTCAGGCTTCTTGGATTGCAAAAGCTCCTCTTACCTAAAGGGCCTGCTGCCTTTATTTTTATCCAAATGGCTCAATTACTGCAAAGCCCCACAGAGAAAATTATGGATGTTTGCCTCTATTTTTCTCCCCTTGTCTCGACAACTGGAGATATTTTGTTTTCCTTCTTTCCATCTCTTTTTTTTTTTTCTTTCTTTCTTTCCCTGTTTTGTTTTTGGTTTGGTTTTTATTCCCTTTCGGTGGTGATGGGTGTGGGGGCTGAAAGGTGGCCAGGAAGCAGGGTGAGGGATGGATGGGGTGATATAGATCTGAGGTGAGGGATGGGGAGCCGGCATGCGATGACCCTGCCAGCATCACACGACTTGGTCCCCTCTCCATCTCCCCTATGCCACCTTGTGTCCCCCTTATCCCTTCATCCCCCATCCTTATCCCTCCCTCCAGCGCTTTCTCCCTCTCCTCTCCCCCACCTCCCTCCTTTCCTCTCCATCACCCCCTCCCTGTGCCTCTCAAAGCCACCATAATAGCAGCTTGTTTGGCACTTCACTTGGTCTCAATGAGAAAATTTCCCCCCTCTCCCTCTTTTTGCCTTCGTTATTTCCAAACCCTGCAATAGCTCCTTTGCTCAGGGCTGCGGGAAGTGCCCATTTCTCAACATTTTTCTTTGACTTATGTTTGTCATCCTCTGAATTACCGCACCGGGGAGTCCAGTCAGCCCGACACCGGGCCCTGCTGTTCACGCCTCTCCTGCTCCTTGAGATCATGTAGGGAGAAATTAGTTATTTATTTCGAGCACCACTGCAATGCACTGCCCCTGCACAAGTGTTTGTTTTGATCCCTCCCTGGAAAAGGAGGCTCCATAGGGAAAACCAGCGTGGTGGCAATGCTGGGTCTGGTGGGAGATGGGGTGAGGATAGGGCAAGGTGTGGGCAGCCCTTGGGGCTCCTGGGAGAGGTGTGAGTGTGGAGACCATCACTGAGCACATGAGAGGGGTCCCCATCATGCTGAGATGCTTCCCTGAGGCTCCTCCTGGAGCAGATGCTGTCTGCAGCTCCTGAGAGTTTCCAGATGCTGTTGTCCCCTTAGGAAACCTGGTTGTCCATGGTTTGATGCCATGGTAGATGGACCCCAAACCACATGGTACTGGGGGAGCATCTCATCCCCAAGCTGGCCATGATGGCACAAGGGATACAGCCCAATATGCTCTGCCTAGTGCTGAAGGATTGAACAGATTTGGAATTCAGAGGAAGAAACCCTTCTCCAGCACAGCCCGTGGACATGGTCCCCAACCCTGGTCACTGGCCAGGGGTCCTAGCCATCCTGTTACTCTTTGCAGAGCAACACCAGCCCTGCATGGGCATCCAGGCTCTTAGGCAAGGGCAGAACAGACCAGGAATCATTCACCAGCTCAGAGATGTGAGATGGAAGGATGCTGCCTATCCTTGGAGATCGTATCCCACCTTCAAGTTCGGGAGTCACTGGTTTCACTGCTGAGCCCACCGGTCCCATTGCAGAGCAGGCTGGCTCCTCAGCCATCGCAACAGTGAGGATGCTGCCAACACTCATGAGCCCTTCTCCTTGCATGGGCAGCAGCAACACCGGCCACACAGGGAAGGGGCATGGGGAGCTGCAGCTTTAAGGAAAGGATCAGCAGGAGGAAGAAAACACACAATTGGCCCAGTGGGCAGACCTGCTATTTAAGTGCCGTTGAGAAGAGAGCGGGAGGAATTACAGGAGAAATGATAGTGCCCTGACAGCTGCCATTTCCCACCACCAGTCTCCCCTAATGGAGTCCTAATGTAGTGGTGGGCTCTTTGCTGACAGCCCAGCCCGAGACAGGGCTCGTCTTTGTGCTGCTGACAGATGGGACAGTCCCAATACAAACCTGTAATCCTCTGATTTCTGCCTTAACCCCTTATTCCCCTGGCCCCCAGGTATGTGGGGTCCAACCCGCCCCTGGGGTCCCACATCCAGATGTGAGTCCAGCAGCAAAGAAAGGGCTTGGGAAGAGGAAGCAGCTCCCTCCTGTGCATCACTGCATGGGGCAGCGTGAGAGAGGCTCATGCTGGTCACCAAACAGAGCCAAAACAGGTCCCTATGGGGAAAGCAGAAAGTGGGACCCCGCTCTGGTTGGGATCCCCGTGTTGATCTCTGCCTGTGTGACATTTAAGCAGGCAGGTGAGTGCAGGCAGATGTGCTCTGCAGCAGGATGCTCAATGGGAGGGCTCTGGGCTGCCTGCCCAGCACAGCACCCACCAGCTACCACTGGCTGCTGGCTTTGGCACTGAACCTCCTCGCCTGCCTCCCAGTTACCCCCAGATGGGGAGGAATTGAGCAGGTTTAAGCTAAAAGGTGTGATGGTACCCCCGCAAGAACAGGCTGCCTCGGGTACATCCAGCTCCGGTCCTGATCCCGCAGGGTGGCAGCAGGAAAAGCTGCTGGAGTTTTCCAGCAGAAAAATAAATGCATCTACTCTCCACACCCTGTGTGCTGGGAAAAGGATGGGTGTGCTTAGGGATCCTCTGCACCACAGGGATGCTCTCCCCCCCGGGATGCATAAGGGGGAGATGAACCACCTGCTGATCCCTTCTCTCCTATCCCAAAGGGCACAAAAGATCCCTCAAAAGGGATTTTTGGATGCTTCTCTG